AAAAAAAATTCCCGGCTTCAATTTCTAAAATAGTAAATATTGACAGATACAACCCATTAAAAAAAGCTCTCTGGAGTTCTCATAATTTTTAAAAATGTAAAGAGATTATAAGCAAAAAGTCTGAGGACTACCTTAGATCACTGCTTCTGTTCACAGGTTGAAAAGTAATCTACCATTCACAGTGAGTAAATCTACGATCCTGTGAAGGCATCTGGATAATTCTGACTTGGAACACAGAGTAAAGGGTCCATACAGATATCAAATGCAGCCTGCTGGAAATGCTGTAGGATGCTCCACCACACCATCTAAGGCTAAGTAGTAACACCTCTGGTGTTCAAGGAAGGGTCAATGCTATGCCCTTTAGGCACATGCTAGGGCCCTGTGGGAAAAAATCTGGCACAGGACATAAAATAATAGATTCTATACCATTCTACACTATATTTTTCTTCCCTTCTCCTCAAAATTTAGTTCCAATTGAATTGCAAGAGATAACAGATTAGCAATTCAAATTAACAGAAAGCTGCTAAGAGATCTTGTAGGAAAGCGAGTTTGGTGGCCTTCCTAGATTTTCTCTAGAGGATTTAGTGTGAGTCCTGTACTACCCTTCCCTAATTAAACAAACAAACAAAAAAAAACACATGAAGGCAAATTTCCAACTCAAGGTGGGTGTCTATGCTCAGCGCAGGCCCTAAACCAAGTGGCACATGGCCCTCGCATTGGAACTGGCTCTGGGCGGCCTCAGAAATGGCCTAGACTGCAGACTGGGAACCTCAGAAAGGGTCTAGGTGTGGTAATAACAAAGGTGAAAAACAGTAAAACATTTTTGTTTTGGTAATGTCAGTATGTGCTGAACATAGTTTACGCATTTTATATCAATTAATTTAGTCTTAACAATCCTAAAATACTGGTAAAATTTCAGTCCTCACACTGTCCTCATATTTACTATGCATGTCCCATCTGAACCTCCCACCCTAAAAGGTCATCCTTCCTGCCTCCCGTTATTCTGGAAAACATAAAAGACAAGTTCCAAGGTGGGAGATTTAGTTCAGTGACCCTGAGACTGCCTTGCCAGCACAAGGTCCTGAGTTTGATCTCCGATACCAAAAAAAAAAAGGAAGAACAGACACACCCTTAAATTAAAACAGTAAGATCCTAAAGAAGAGGCATCAAAACGAATTCCAGGATACTTTCAGGTACCTTTCAACTAAAGCAAGGAGGCATCCCAGAAATGTACCTGTTGGAGCCGTCTTTCATATGGACTTTGGCATAAAGCACATCCACCATCCCGGGGTCGTCGTTCATGTATTCTATCCCTGCCATCTCTACTTGCAGGGGTTTGCCCCCCGCAATGTCACTGCAAAAGAAAATACATTAAATTCTTAAAACTGTTTAAGCTAAGAGGGTTATTATCTTTTCAAATAGGGTTAACGAAAACAAAGTTGTGGGGTTTTCTTTTAGTAACATTATCTAATTGTCCTCCTAATCTCAAAACTGGAATACACAGAAGTTTCCCGGTGTCAAACTATTATCTATCCCAATATACCTTTATTAGCACCCTGAGAAAAAAAGCCAAGGGATGAGAGTTGTGATTGGCAGAGAAATGACTACTGGCCCATCTCTTCGTTATTTCCACAAGTTACACAGCATTCCCTCCTAACAACGGTAAGTGTGTATCTGTGTAGGAGCAATCTGGCAACAGCTATGAAAAGCCTTCAGAAAGGGGAGGGACAAGGGGACAAAAAAGAATTGAGATGTGTTATGACGCGTACCAACTCCCGGTAAGGAAGGTAATCGTTATGTACTGCAAACATAATTAATAAATACTAAAACATTTTACACAAAAATTCTGGTTCTAGGAGCCCATTCTAGAGAAACAGTTCTGAATTCAACCACATAAATGTTATGGTTTCTCTCTAGAGGTCCCCAAAGCCTCATGCACGCATAGTGGGTCTAAGCAGTTATCTTCCTCCCTTCTCCTTTGATACCTGTCGCCACTTCCTGCCTGCCCTGCCACCTTGAGCAAGCCTCCCCTGCCCTGCCCCTCTGCCTTGAGCCAGCCAACTAGGGACTGAAACCTCTACAAACTGTGAGCCAAAATCAACCTCTTCTTTAAATTGTGGCTGTCAGGTAGTATGTCTTGGCAACAAGTGACCAAGATGATAGCTGAAGAAGCAAAGCTCTTGAGCTGGGGATTTAGCTCAGTGGTGCCCCCACCTGCCTCAAAAATGCAAGGACCAGCGTTCAATCCCCGTACCAAAAAAACAAAACAAAACAAAACAAACAAAAAAAGAAGCAAAGTTCTTTTGGGTGGAGGGAGTGTATTTTTTTGTTTTGTTTTGTTTTTTGTTCTTTGTTTTTTGAGACAGGGTCTCACTCTGTAGTTGAGACTGATCTGGAACTCACTATGTAGCCAAGGCTGGTCTCAAACTCACAGCGATTCTCCCGCCACAGCCTCCCAAGTGCTGGAATCACAGGACCGCCATGCCCAGCTGAGGGAGTATATTTTGAAACAGGGTCTCACTATGTAGTCCACACTGGACTTGAACTTACTATGTATCCCTGACTGGGCTTGAATTTGTGATCCTTCTGCCTCAGCCTCCCCAATGCTAGGAGGTATGCATCTCCTGGTTATGACTCAGGTCTGTACATTATGATTTACCAAAAATGTTTTTCACAGGCTAAGAACAAAACAGGCTTCTCTTCTAAAAAATGGTTATGCTGTCTTTTATCAAGTAAGAACTACAATAAATCCGTGTTTTTCTTTTTAGAATTTAGTTCAAATAGTATCCTGGTAGCAGAAAACACCTTTGAATACTATAGCATAATAATAATCTTACCTTGAGTTTCAGGTAAAATTTTCTGTCCATTCTATCCTTATGTTCTCTCTCTCTCTCTCTCTCTATCTCTATCTCACACACACACACACATTTATTTATTTACTATTGACATGTTTGTTGCTCAAGATCCAACCCAAAGCCTCAGGCCTGCCAAGCCAAATGCCCTTCCACCAAGGTACTACACTCCCGGCCTCCTGACTTTAACATTTCTTTTGTATCTGTCATTACTATAAATTACCTTAAATCCTAGATTTAAGGATCCAATAACAAGAAATAAGCTAACAAGGGGCCAGGGATTTAGCTCAGTGGTTCTGCTGCCTGCCTCACAAGCCAAGGACTTGGGTTCAGGATCCAAAGGCTACTCTGAGTATAGACAGAAATTCTCACAACCTACCCGAAGACATCATCATAAAGGAGGCTGAGGCCGATGCCTGCCTTGCAAGCACAAGGGCTCAAGTTCGACCCCCCCATACCAAAAAAAAAAGAAGGAGGAAGTTGAAGAGCAGGGGAGAGACCCAATCAGTTTACCTGATCAGTGTTCTTTGCCTTGGTGGCCCAACTACGCCACTTTCCAACTGAGTGACACCGAGGCATCCATTAGTAATGAACATTTGTTCATGGGTATTTTCTCGCCACTCCTCCCCTCTTTACTGTCCCTTTTAAGCATATCTGGCTGGACCCCAGGCACAGGCAGGGTGACGCTGGAGCTAAAGAAGTTCAGTGTGTTTGTCACAGTGCCACACTGAACCACAGCGCTGCCTCTGTCCTACATCTCACAGAGAAGTCACAAGGGACACATTCAGAGCAATTTACTAAACACTGAATAATTCATTCAAAATCTATAGAGCTACAGAAGCCTGCAGCCAAAGAACTGAAATGAAAACCCTGTTTCCAGCAGGATAGCACCCTCTCATTCAAAAAGGACCCCAAAATTTAAAACCTATTCAACCACCCATTTCTTTTAAATGTCTATGTAGCACTGTAGTTTTAATTCATTTCATAATTAATTAGCATTGCTGAGGCAAGGGTCGAGCCTCATGCCCACTAGGCAAGTGCTTTCCCAATGGAGTTACAGCCCCAGCCCCACTTTCACCTTAACACACCAATCTAAAATGCCCTCAAATTAAGGTACTTCACACTGGGTATGGGCCAATTTATTCTCAGTGTTGTTCTTTTCACATTTTAATTTAGGATCTGTACATCATAAAGGCTTCAGGTTAGAAATACCATTATGTACGGACATTCTTTCTCAGCAGTATACCAAGTGCAAAGGTTGAGATCAAAGAGCAAAAATAAGCAAAGAAGTTAGATGAAGGCTGGAGATGTGCAGCTCAGTGGCACAGCACCTGCCTGGCAAGCAAAAGGCCCTGAGTTTGATTCCCAGTTAAAAAAAAAAAAAAAAAAAAAAAAAAAAAAAAAGAAGTTAGATGAAGTTAGATGATATAATTTACTTAGCAGGATTTTAATAAAAGTACTATGTAAAAGTACTCTTTTTTTAAACATCTCTTCCACTAATAGAAAAACAATCCAAACAATCCAAATAACCAATTCTGATTCTCATCCTTCTCAGAAGTTAATTTTGCACTAAACACTAGGGTTGGGAGCATATTAAGGATTGAACCCAGGGCCTCCACGCTGAGCTACTGCATATCTCAGCCCCTACCCCCTTTTTTAGAAACAGGCTCTTGCTAAATTTTCCAGGCTGGGCTATATCCTCCTGCCTCAGAGTGCTAGGATTACAGGTATGCCCCACCTGGCTGCACTATACCTTATATAAACAAGGGCATGCAGTAGGGGAAGGTACAAGAGTTGGGGAGGCTTGCTTTATTTCACTTACTGATTTGAAGTCTTTCCAGAGTTCTGAAAAGAGCATCTTCAAACAAATTTTTGCACACACTGCAGATTTCTTGGCAGGGTAACTTTGTTCTATTTCAAAAGCTTTGCTGAATTTGAAAAACTACAATTATTGTTTTCATCCTGTCATGTCAAAAATTCTTAGGAACTATTAAGACTGTTCGTTATTCCCCATGCACTTCAACTCTGACACGCTCAAGGGCTCAGAGTTGGCATTCGGTCACAAAAGGCACCAAGAGATACAAAAAGGAAAACTCAGCTAAATCTTCACATAGCTCAGGGTAAAGCTCCAGTGATTAAAACTTTGTGACTTGATTTTCATAAGTTAAGAACAAATACCTCTTTAAACAAATATTTTATCTACTTTCAAATTGTAGCAGGATTATCCCAAAGACAGCCAAGAAAATGTAGCTACTTTCAATTTAGCAAAAAGTGAACTGGAAATATGTTAAAGTATCAGAACTCTAACCAGGTAAAATTATTCTGCTTTGTAAGATAAAGAATAAAGTTTCCTTTGTAAGAGGAAAACTGCAAATATCTAATGATGTGCACCAAATTCTTTTGAATTTTAGGTAAGATCAAGAGAAGAGGCAGGCCCATCACTGAGCAAATGACAAGAAGGGTTCTCTGCTTTCTCAGATCAGAAAGGACAAGCAGACTGTAAAACCCAAACAGGCTTTGTATAAGAAAAACACCATTTCTTTGAAATAATTAGTAAAAAAAGATAACGGGCCCCAGAATAAGTCATTGTATTACAGTTTCCTGTACAGCATAACTAGATAAAATTTTTGCCTTATTCTATCCAGTAAGAAAGTAACTTATTTCTACAAAGCTAAATAAGAAGACCTGTTGGCCAGGTGTGGTAATGCACCCCTGTATGCCCAGCACTTGAGAGGCTAAGGAAGGAGGACTGCCATGAGTTCAAGGCCAGCCTGAAATACATAGCAAGACCTGTCTTTAAAAAACAAAAAACATTGTGCAGGACCTATACTATATAACAATGGAATTTTCTCTCTCTCTCTCTCTCTTTTTTTTTTTTTTTGAGTCAGGTCTCTGTGTAGTTCAGGCCAGCCTTGAACTTACTATGTAGCACATGCAGGCCTTGAACTCACAGACTCCTCCTGCCTCAGCCTCCCAAGTGCTGAGATTACAAGTATCACCACACCCGGCCAACAATGGAATTTTTAAAAACCTACACAAGTGAGTCAGCTTTCAAATTTTTTCATTATTCTTAAGTAAAGGAAGTGGAAGATATGGTTTTCTGAAATAAAGCTGTGATGTCAGATACATGTATAAATTAAAATTTTGTAGTGAAAAAGAATAACACCTCTGACACCATCCTGCATGATCAGTTTCTGATATCCTTAATAAAATTCCTCCCTTAAAAAAAATAAATAAATAAGACTAAGTGCGATGGTACATCTCTGTAGTCCCAGCTACTTGGAAGGCTGAGGCCAGAGAACTGTGAGTTCAAGATCAGCCTGGATAACATGGTAAGACCCCGTCTTAAAAGATTTTAAAAAAGAAAGTTGAGTATTCCTGAAATACGTGAAGATTTTCCCAGGGGATGACACTATCTGCTTGAGTTACTGGCAGGCAGATACTCACAACCTCTGGAATCTGTAAGGATGTATCAGCGTTATCTTGCAGGTGCAATTCCAGGTAAGGAGACTCATTCAGGGCATTCACCTGGATGACCTAGGTTGGCTCATTCAGATCACACAGGTCCTTAAAAAGCCTGTTCCTGCTGTGGCCACAGGAAGATGTGACGACACAAAGGTCAGACAGATGCAATGTAGCTAGAGTTGAAGAAGGAGGGAAAGGGCCACTAGCCAAGGCATGTGGGCAGCCTCCAGAAGCTGGGGTTTAAGGCAAAGAAATGGATTTTCCCCCAGGGTGCCCGAGGAAGTATTACTGGCAAAGTCTTGATTTTAGCCCAGTGAAACCCATATAAGATTTCTAACCCACAGATAATAAATTTGTGTTGTGTCAAGCCACTAAATGTGTAGTAAAGTGTTATTTTGGAGAAAATGATGAGATGTTCTGCTTAAGAATAAAATGTGTCTACTGAGCAAATACAATTTAGGGTACAGCCCATACAAATTTATAAATATATGCTTTAAATCCACTTTTAACCTTTCAGACAATGGTCCGATGTTAAGTACTACAAATGGGTATGTTAACAGATTTCGTTCTTGTGTCATTCGGCTGCCCGCCCAAAGTTAAGTCTGTGATACCAAAAAGAAGCCAGGCCAAGAGGACTGTCCTTTCCCACCCCGGCACTTCTGGCTCCAGTCAGCTCACGTACTTAATGAACTCCTCCTTACAGCGCTGGAGCATCTCTCGAGTCTGCTGGACCTCTTGCTCACTTAGAAGCACCAACATCCCAATTGTGAGGTGAAGCTTTTTGGGATTTTGGAAAACGGAGCTGTCGACGCCACGGTCCTGTTACCAAAAGGGAGAGAAATGAGAAACTCACCCCAACCAAATGTAATGGCAAGAACAGAATGAGGACACAGACATAAGCCCACACGTATGTGGCCAACTGATTTTCCACAAGGCACAAGGCTACTCTGGGAAAGAACAGTCTCCTCACAAGTGTGCTGGGACAAGTGAATATGCAAAAGAAAGTAGACGGTGCACTATGATACATAACAATTAACTCAAAGTGGGTAAGAACCTAACTATAAAATAAATTAATTAAATATAATAAAAATCTACATGGTGCACACCTGTAATCCCAGCACTCAGGAGGCTGAGGCAGGAGGATCACTGTGAGTTTGAAACCAGCCTAGGCTACATAGTGAGTTCCAGGTCATTCTCAACTACATAGTGAGACCCTGTCTCAAAACAACAACAACAAAAAAAAAATCTACAGAGCTATTTCTATCTTAGCAGATACTGCAATCTTTTCAGGTATAATATTTTCATTAAAATTTAATTCTGAATCAAACCTGGTGGTACAAGCCTATAAACATAGCTATTTGGGAGGCTGAGGCAGGCGATTCATAAGTTTGAGCTTCACCGGGGCAACTTAGTGAGATCCTGTCTCAAAATAAAAGGGGCTGGGAATGTAAATGAGTGATACAGTACTTTCCTAGGATGTGTGAGACCCTAGATCCAATCCCCAGCACTGAAAAAGAAAAAAAAAAAAAATGAGTGAAAAATTTGGAAAGAGATTCAGACCGTGGAGTTGCCACATAGAATATGGTCAACCTTTTCTGGCATCATCATTCCTTGCACTTTAATACGTTAGTCTCTGGGAAACACAAAAGCTAAACAGTGTATAACTCATGAACCCTTTTTCTTTAAAACTGAAGTGAAATCCATTTAAGCTACAATTCACCACTTTAAAGCACATAACAGTTTAGTGGTATTTAGCATATTCACATATAGTGAGGTTTCATCTCTTTAGTTTCAAAACCTTTTCATCACCCCATAAAAACACTTTGTAGGACTGCGCGACAACAGACCCAGCAAGGACCCAAAGACCCCGGAGGGGGTCTCTTCAGCTGCCTGCCGGCCTGCGATCACCTGGCAGGTGTGGGACCTCCTGGACTGCGCAACAACAGACCCAGTAAGGAAGGTAGCCACACGGGCACCCTTGAAACACCCCCACAACCGCCTCCCCCATTCTCAAACCTCCTGATTGGGCTAGTCCTTAGACCAACTCTGCAGAGGCATAGGTTCTCATGAAGGGTAGTTTTCTGAGCTCCCAACTTTGAACATCTTTAAAGAAAGGGCAGGGGAAACCTGTAATAGAACTCTGA